TTTAGAACTGACCAGTTTTTAACATCAAAGTTTTATGAAATTGTTTTACAAACCAAAGTGTCTAACGGAGGAAGGCCCACAGCTTAGACCATATACTACAGCCATGTAATTTATTCAGCTGAAAATGAGAATTTGACTCAGAAATTCACTATTATGATAAATCCTGGTAACTTTTGAGTCTATTTTCTTCATTTCCTTTACATATCCCCACAACCAATCTTTAATTTATGCTAACATAGGAATCTATAAGAAAAAATTCAAGTTTGGCAATTAGTTTTTTCAGAGATTAATTAGATACATTAAAATTTGATTCTATCCAAGATGGATTTTAAGGCATGATATAAAAATTCAGTATTTCCTACCAAAGTGTAGTATACAAGATGATCTTAGAATTTTAACAGAATTATCTACATGTCAAGGCATATTTGTTTTCCATTGGTAGTACTGACATAAAAAGTGGAAAAACGGTACACATGAAAATATGGTAAAGAGTGTGATGGTATGTAAATAATTAAAGTTTTGGAAACTAATTTAATTAACTCCATTACTAAAATCATTTAAATGGTTTCCATATTCACAAAATTGTTTTTGTCATTAGGAGGTGATGGTTTTAACCTAAAACGTACTGTTAAAGAGTATTTAATAGGTAAATGCAGTCATACTAATTGACCTAAAAATTTTACCAAGAGGTAGGGATAGTTGTTAAAAATGGGGGCACCATTAGCCCTGTGCAGGACTGCAGGTTGATTAGGAAGGAATGCTGGAAGCCAGGCTGCCAGAACAATACCATCCAAACTTAAAAGATTTCTATCAAAAAACAAATTACAGATGGATGGTAGTGATGACTATACAACAACATGGATGTACTTAGTGCCACAGAACTGTACTTATGGTAAAAATGGTAAACTGTATGTTAGGTATATTTAATCATTTTTTAAATACCAAAAAAAAAACCCCAGCAAATTACAATTCTCTATTAATATGAAGGGAAAAAATGATTTCCACCTAAAGTCCCAAAGAAAGTAAACTGGAAAAAAACCCTGTTTGAGTCTATAAAGGTTAAATCTCTTGAGTGAAGAATAAACAAATGAGTTGAGCTGTTTCTCCTCTGATCTCAGTATCAACTATCCATGGTAAAAACACCAAGATATCCTAGAAAACTAAAAATATATAGATCACCTATATGACTTAAACTACTGAAGCTTTCATTTTTTTAATTTCTATTCACTCTTTGTTGAATGGAGTACAGTAAATGTACACAAACTGTAAATACAGAATATTAAGAGCCTAGTAACTAAGTCAGAACCAGGTAAAGGTAATTAAGGCAGCTTAGCTGTTTTATCTCTCCTGGCTATTGGCAAGGCACCAGCCTCCTGTTCTATTTCTGAATTCCCTCTATCAGGCATTTTAATTGTTTTAATAGCAACCATATTAATATAATTCCAAAGCAAACACTAAATTTGTCCCAACTTAGAAACAGGGTCTTCAGAATTCTCTCTGGCAAATTCCCTGTTGGAGGCCATCACCGGATACAGATCAAAACACTGTCCTGAATTTAAACATTATCAACTTCTCTAGACATTTGCCAATCTCTTCTCTGCTACGACTACTACCAAATGTGAACCAGTGCAGCACAAGCTATAGAAAAAAATTCACAACTTAAAAGGAAAAATCTAATTTTAGATCCAAATTATAGGTTTCTTAAGGTATTTCCAATTCTCAATTGTTATTTTATATTAAAGAATGTGTATGTATATAAAAGAATTTAAATGTGTATCTTCAACATAACCAATAGTAAGTACAACCTGCTCAAATAGGGGTGCAACTCTATTTTTTAAATTAGAAATTCAGACCCGCTAATGAAGATACTCATTTAGTTGATTTTAGTAAGTTCCATATCCTTTGTCCACAGTTCATCTTCATATCTATATTCCTGTCTGTTGTCTTTGCTACTTAGTACCAATCTAAAATTACTATTTATAGATTTTCCCCATGAAAACCAAGTAGGGACACACCATCTAGTCCTGTAAATAGGCTTCAGACTAGTGAATTCTACTTTCTTGGTCTCACTGATATCTCAGGTCTCTGGTTCCACATCTATAGAGTCCCTTCCAAACTTACAGAAGAGACCTCTTCTGGTCTATAAATTCTAGAAAACTGAAAGACAAAAACACTCTGATGCTTTACATTTCCAAAGATCTCTAGAAATAAAGACATCTTTAGCTTTCACAGCTCTTACTTCCCTTAGTTTCTCCCCCTTGCTAATCCTATTCTAACCACTTTTCTTAGACCACTAGAGATCTGGCCTAAGCCTCGTTTTCTCTCTGCAAGGAGGAAAACAAATACCCATTTGGTTGTCTCCATATAAAGAGTTCAGTGTCTCCTTTTTTGTTGTTGTTAAAGAGAAATGTAAGAGAAAAATGGCTACAATTACCCAATTCAACTCTATCTCCATCTACAGTGGATACTGGACAAATATATCTTAGCTGCTTAAGAAATTTCTGTTTGAAAACACTGTTTAGTATGCAGCTATTGGTTTAGTGTTTAGAACACACAGTACATCTTTAAGATTACAGAAATTCTTTCAAACTTGTTTCCCTATAGAAACTTCAGATGAAATATGCCAGACTGCTGGTTTAAAACAGAGGGATTATTTGGCATAATAATAAGAGATCATGCACATTTGTGATTATGCTTCAACCTTTTCTTCAAAGGTATGGACTATATCAAATTAAGGGTTACTTTTATACTCAACAATCATGATTTTATCTTTTTCTTTCTTCTTTTTCTCCATGGCTTCTGAAACAAATCAAATTTAGTTTATCCCACAAGAGCACATTTGCCCAAGCACTTAACTACATCAGAAGTATCCACTGTCAAAACCATTTCTATGTTAGGATAAAACTCACCTGGATCATTACCCAAAGCCTTAGAATTACATAACTTAGGTGACTCTTTGCTTTGCCTGGTTTAAATCTTCCTGAACCTTAGATTTCAAACTTTCGAAAATATCTGCATGAACAAATTCACTAATCTGAAACAAGTTCTCTGAAAATCTTTTAAGATACTTCCTTAAAACCCCTCAATCACACTATGAACTTCTTTCAACCTGTTATAATCAAAGAATTTTTAAAATACTATATTTCTGTTTGCAGGAAAGAATATGTTCTATTCAAATGAAACATTTTTTTTAAATTGTGTGTTTATTATAATCAAAAAGCATTGACTGAGTTCCCCAGAAGAAATTCCACTTGCTTTTGCAGAAATTGGTACATTACCTTAAGGAAGCTGACCGAAGACTACTGATTTTCAATCTCCATTAATCTTTTCATAATTCCATAGTAACTAAGATATTTCAAACTGCATACTTAGAAATCCATAAAAAGTTGCTCTCTTTAAAAGTTCCAAGTTTCCAAAAGTGTCAAACTGACATTGTATCACATTTAAAAGCTAAGTTGGAGCCTAAAATATGAAAGCAACTTAAAAAATCTTGGGACAAACTTGCCTCCACAGGCAATCAATCAGATTTTTCACTAACAATACAAAGCTAAAAATGGAAAATAAGAAATCAAATCTTAGGGACAGATGGACCATGTAGAAAAATAGTGAGCTAAGTTACAAGCCCCAAAAACAATGATACCTGAGGCAGAAGATAAAGCAGAAAAGAGATTGATTTTAATTACACAAATGTAAAAAAAGAAGAAAAAGAAGCATGTGATGAAATATTAAAGCTAAAAATGAAATAATTAAAATCCATACACTTATGAGAAATTGGCTGCAGGAGGGTCTCAAGTCTAGAAGCATATCAGACCTCTATACTACAAAACCTCATTTTAAGAATATATTGATTAGTCACTTATTTGAATTTTATCATGCTCAGATTATATATTCCCTGATAGGGCAAATAGGAAAATAAGTGATTTTTTCATCTCCTCTATACACTATTACAAAGAATAATTTTCTACCATCTTGAAATTTTTCAAAGCTTTTTGAGAAACACACACAAATAATTTGGATTTAGTCGATTTTATTTACAGCTTGTTTTTTTTTACATTTCAGAGCATTACACAATTACATTTTCTCATTTTCTGACCTGCAAACAGATACCTTAAATGGAAATATTTTTTAAAAATTATCAAACTAGGTACATCCAAAATGCAACAATTACATATATGACAATTAATTCACAAAGTGTAATTTACCAGGACGTATCCTAAGAATTTAGGAAGAGCCAGTCAGGAGAAATCTGACCAAATTTAGCAATCACCTATTTACATATCCAAAGACAAACCTATCTAACGTCCCAAACCAGAAGTCTGAAAGTTTTTGTTAAGTCCCCACTGGACAAGAGAGAGAGCGATGATTCAGACCTAGCCAGCCTTGACAGTCTTAATCCCAAATACTGGGCTATTGCCCCAGTGTGCAATTCAACAGCAAGCATCTCAGTTTGTCAAACATCTTATGTATCAAACTCCCATGCCATTATGCACATAGAAAGGCTAAGTGTTCATTAATTAAAAAACAAGTATCATTAAATATCCTCACTATTCCCCCTAGCTCACCAGCCCTTACTATGATCCCAGATATGCAACCTGTGTCACATAGTGACAGGCTTTATTTGATACATGTATGTATCTATGCGTACACACACACACATATTTACATGTGTGTATATACGTATACACATACACACAGTACTAGGTACAAATGGCAATTAACAGTCCCTGCAAAAATTCATTTTCAGTTGAGGCTATGGCTCCTATGCCTTGGGGTGGTTTTAGACTTCAAAACTGAAAAATACTAAAATCTCACTTCCTTAAGACAAAATTTGATTGCTTGTTCAGTTTAAGCTTCTCAGTCTAAAAATGGCTGTAAGGTTAAGTATAAAAAAGCAGCCAACTGAGTGCAAGTTCTCTCTCCAATTTGGCCAAGCTATCTCGTAGAAGTTACCCCTAACTAGACTAGAAAATCTGTGGCACCTTCCAAAGGTTCTTGCCTACCTTACTGTCCATGTTCACGTTTCAAACTGTGTCAACAGAGCCCGCACTTCAGGGGTCAGCTGTTGGGCAGCCTTAGCTGCCTCTGTGATAGCCTTGCGATACAGGCCCTTTCTCTTCTTATTAAAGCGTGACTGGAAGTTTTCTAAAAAGGGGGAGAGTTGCGAAAGAGCCAGGAAAGATGTTGTTGGAGACCCGAACCATGAAATACGGGCCTCCTGTCGGACTAAAAGGCCGTTATCTTTCCGGCTCACAGTTATAGTAAGAATACGGGCTGGCCACCAGGGGAAGCCATATATCTTGGCCCAAACAATGTCCCCTACACATATGGTCCTGCCGTCTGGTGTGACGCACTTAGAGACGTTTTTGGAAAATACTTTCATTTTCAAGGAATTACTGAGCTTTTTCTCTTCCTTTGAAGAGGAGGAAGTAGAGGATGTGGAAGGTGCATGCATACAGCCTGGAGGAAAATCAAAGCTTTCAGAAGAACTACACTCAGAGTTGGAGGATTTCAAATCATCTGTGCTATCAATGCTACACACTGAAGCACTGGAAGAGTCAGACTTCTTTTGATTTAGGGTCATGTAAACAGAGACATTGCTTTTGCTGCCCTTTTTGCCCAGTGTCTGTGGTTCATCCTGCTCACCAGGCACAAGCACTTCAGTTGTGTCCTGAACCTCACTGCTGGCCTCTTCAGGGCCTTTGGAGGGACTCTGATTTTCTGAAGGGGCCTCACCTGCTGAGCGGGTAGAGGTGCAGCGGGACTGGGGCTTTGGTGCCATCTTGCCGCTCCGCATTTTCTCCAGTCCTGTCTTCAGAGAAGAGTCATTTTCTTCATTCCTGTACCTCTGTGGTTTTAAACGAACCCGGGGTGGAAGGGAACCTGAGCTAGGATTCTGGTATCGACGTGTGAAATGGACTTTTGAATGTGCATTTTTGGACGTAGAGGTTTCACTTTGCTTCTTCTGTGCCTTTTCTTTGGCAATTTTCAGCACTTCCCGAGCTTTTGCATGATCCATGTTCTTATTCTGGAGCACTTTTTTAGTACTTAACTGAGCTTTTGATGTATTTGCCTGAGCAGAAACTTTGACTACTCTGCCTCTGCTGTGAGCAATATTTGAAACCTTAACCACAGCATTTCTTTTCTGGCTTTCATTTTGGTTTTTCCCATCCACCTTATGGTCAGTTTTCAGTTTTTTGTTCACAGTAGTTACACTTTCATTTCTCCGTTTTTTATCTTCATATTTAGAAGAGTCACTTGCACTACTACCTTTTCTAATTTCTTTTTTTTCAGCAACGACACTGTTTTTACACTTGTCACACAAGACTTGTCTGGGTCGTAGTTTAATAGCATTCATTATTGAAGTAGGTTCTTCCCTGTACATTTTTCGTTTGGGTCGCTTAATTTTCCGAGGAGGTGGCTGAGGTATTGATTGGTTATATGTGTCCCTGATAAACAAAGGGGGAGGATAAGGTGCTCCTTCATGGAAGAGAGGTGGTGGTTTGCAAGTCCACAGGCTTTCGGCCAAGCTCAGCTCAGGAGGCGGGACAGGAGAAGGGTCTTCGGGAACAGCACCATTCACGTCACGCTTGACATCTGTCCCTTGGAATGTATTATTTTGGAGCTGCATGGCTTCAGGTTTATCCTTATATTCCCTTTTGGGAAATACTGTCACAGGGATCCCATGGGGCCCAAACCTTTGAAAGAAATGAAAGGAGAAAAGAAGCCATTAAGTTAGTGTCTATAATTCAGTTTCTTGAAACACCACCTAATGTTTATTTATACGACCTTTCCTGAAAACTATTTCACCTTAAAAAACAAAACCAAAAACCTAAAGACGACCTCCCCGGGTCCCAAAGCCCTCCATTTTGGGGGGGCTTACATTTTAGGTCTACACTCAAGAAGAAATACTCAATAGTTGCTCTAAGCAATGCCATAATAGCTGATGTTATTTAAAATAGATCTTTCCAGTCTTGAATCAGTAAGGATGTTCTATCAGATAGCTTAATAGTTAATATCATTTGATATAATGTTCGCTCAACTACAGACAACATGTCTAGTAAATGCAACTATAAATTTGTAACATACATATCTTCCTCTGGTTATAATGGCTTTCAAAAGCTTCACAAAACAAATACAGCCCTAACTACCCCAAAATATTGAATCAGTAAAATTCCAACTCAACTTTATTGTTTAAACACTATGAAGATTCAAAGGCGTTTGCTTCTCTACTGTTCTACCCTAACTCTTAAGGCCTTCATCCAACCCGGCCACCCCCCCGAGAAAAAAACCACAAAAATACTAGAAATTCAGATACTCAAATAACCTCAAAAGCAGACAGTTATAAGGCTATAGCTTTCTAGCTTTTTAAAATCACATCATACATTAAGAAATATTTTCACATTGCAATCCAATAAAATGTTTATGCATGTATACATGCATGCACATAAATACACACACTTAAGCAAAAGTTTCATTAAATACTTGACCTTATATTATGTGATACATAATTATATTTTTTTTCTACTCTGGTCTATTTTCATTTGTTTTGATGCTAGTCAGATGCATTAAATGGATTTCAAAACTCCCTTACAGGTCCAGACCCAGTTTGCAAAGCACTGGTATAGAACACAAATCTCTACAATTACCAGTTTCTAATAAAACAGGGGTCAAATAACCTTGTTTCTCCTGTAGACTTAGAAATAACTGTGGTTTAATCTGCCTGGGCTAAACATCAAGAACCCTTAAATCTAAACTTGCTATACTCAGATTCCTGCATATAAAAATAAAATCAGACTACCAAATGATTTCATCATGTACATGCTAACATGCTAATTTTAGGCACTCACTGAGTCAAACAGTACTGAACACAATACAATTCTAACACCAATCCTCTAAAGCAGAGGTGCTTAGAACCTAAGGACTGGCTTCAAGTAGTCGGGTAGAACCCCTGACGTTATTAGATGCAAATGTTTTGTAAAGTTCTCTTTTTCTGGAGAATGAGTCTTGGTTCTCAGATTCTCTAAAATGTCTTTACGTCCCCAAAAAGGTACAGAATTCTTTGTTGGAAAGAAATCTTGAGATTAAGTTCTTAGGGCTGCAGATACACCTAAACTTGGTTAGGGATATAGGAAGAGCCAACACCAGGATATCTGGTTCCAACACCTAAATGGTTTTTTTCCTGAAGTCTTGTTAGCTTGGCTACCACAAACCAACAACTTTCAGCAAATACAAACCACAAAGGAAGAGGAAAGCCTTTTTACCTGGAGTGGGACAAGTTTGGGTCTGGGCTAATCCACAAAGGAAGGACACATTCCTCACTATACCAAACTTTGCAAAAAGTAGCTTTCAATTCAACTATACTTCAATGAAAAATAAATAAATAAATAAATAAATGAATAGCTTTCTATTCTAGCATAGTATTTCGTACCCAAGTTGTTTGCTTCCTGACTACTTAACTGCAAGGCACTTTGAGCATCTGGCCTTAGCTTATATGGAGGTGCTCAACAACCACTTTTTCAAGGTGACAGGAAGACACAGGTTATTCTTGTGTTTTAATCTAGAGCTACATAAAACAATATAACTTATGAGATGAGACCACTATTTGTATTAACAATAAAATTTTCTAACTTGTATTAGAAGCCATCATTTTGCCCCATTACACTTTCACTTGTTTCCATAACTGAGATAACAAATTTCCTCCTTTTACTAGGAATAACTAAACCTCGAGCATCTTAAAAGTTTTTTTTTTTTACCAACTTTGTATCCTGAAGCAGTACTAAACCTCTCTAAATTCAGTTTTTGCATATGTAAAAGGGAGTAACACTATTTCCTACCTTAGAGAATTCAGGGGAGGATTAATAGGTCAACAAACGTTAGCCATTTTTCTTGGCTAAACTTTATTTAATTTACTTCACTTAAGTAATATGATCTTACTTTCAACTAATAATTTACCAGAGTTTGGGATCCTTTCTATAACTCTAATTCATTATCTCAATGTGAGGATGATCCAGCCAATTACTTTAAAGCTGTTTATATCAAATAAGCTGTGAAATTTGATACGTCTACCTTCATGGAGTTTAATAAGAACATTAATTTCACTTCTGGGTTTTTCTTCTTCCTTGCCTTTCCTTCTTAAGAATATAAAATACAAGCATTAAATGTTTTTAATAACATAGGGAGGCACTTAATTGTGTAATGATGAATGGAAACTGCAGACACCAGAAGAAAAAGGGAAAATAAAAAGACTGGTAATTGTGGGTAGTGGATTGGCAAAAGCAGAAAAAAAAATTTTTTAATTCATTTTTAACATCTTTATTGGAATATAATTGCTTTACAATGTTGTGTTAGTTTCTGCTGTATAATAAAGTGAATCAGCTATACATATACATATATCCCCATATCCCCTCCCTCTTGCGTCTCCCTCCCACTCTCCCTATCCCACCCCTCTAGGTGGTCACAAAGCACCGAGCTGATCTCCCTGTGCTATGTGGC